ACTAAAAACTGATTTAAGTTTTGATCACTTATTTCTCGCTTCCTAAATGCATCCAAACATGCACATGTACTGCATCTTCCTATCACCATATCTAATATATTATAGTACCGCAGCTCAATCTCAATTTGCTTTGAATCTAACCAATAGATTTGTAAACGGATTGTAATAAACTGTGAAAGAATGAATGGACTTGAGACTCTATTTACAAAAAAAAATTTAGTAACAATGGAGTTCCTCTTACCTATTGTTAAGAGCAGTGTTGGGCGAGTGATTACAATTGGGTTCAGAGGTGCTGCTACTGCTGCTCGTAATACTTTCGGAGTGCGTTACGCGCACCATTCTCTCTGCGACATCTCGGGAGATACCACGTGACTAGAGCACCAGCATCAAATCTATGAATACTATCACAAAAAAGTAAGGAGCACAACAGACCAAAACAAGCGATTGGATAATGACTTCTGGCATGAGCACTTCAAAGACTAGATGAACGCCGGGCAGGAAATAGGCATCATGTTCGCGATCTCGTACCCAAGTAAAGATCAAATCAAACAAACTATCCGTCTCGTGGTCTAAAAGTTGAATTCATTAATATGGTATTTTTTTGTTGATCGACCATTTCGATGCTTGGTTGTTTCGCACAAGAACTGACTATCTCAAAATTTATCATTCGATCAAAGCTTTGAAAAAATGGGAAATATAATTTCTGAAGCCTTTTAGATTTAAATTTAATGATTTCAAAAAGGTAAAATTTCACCTGAAAGTAAGCCTCCTGTATGCATTTCAAATCGCAAGCTTGAACGTGGAGGCGTTACGTAACTCTGTACCAGACTAGTTGTCCAAACGCGCTCAAGAATAGCTATTGCCTCGCGGAATATCTAGACGATGGTTCATAAAAAAGAAAAACGTGAACATTCATTAACGCTTACAGTAGGAGCTAGGAGATCTGGGGATGGTGACGTGTCTGAATGCGTCGTTGAATCTGCTGCAAATGCGGAAGGCCTCGGAGGAGAATGGGTGACAGGTTGACGTTTGGCCAGATTGAGCGAGTCCGACGAAGCAGAAGCTTTTCGCTTGACAGTCGCCTTCGGTACGGGAACTTCGACAACAATTTCTGCATATATTACGTTTTCAAGGACATTCCATAGCTGAATCATTTGCGTTACAAAAATGATGATGAGTTCAAGGGATAAAGATGAAAAGAGTGACGAGGCTTAGCGACAGCAAGTAATTAGTTCAACATTATTTCAAGAAATATACCTTCCTTTGGTGGAGGAATGATATTGACAACACTCTCCTCGTTTTGCTTCTTTTCCATTTCCAATTTTTCTTCAGCACAAAGCGGATTGACCTCTATTTCAATATTCGGATTTTCCTAAGATTTGAAAAGTTACAAATTGCTTGTTGATAAGGTTCTAAAAAGGTTTGGATGAACCTGAGATGCAACAGCTGCTGGTGGGTTTACATCAACCTCGGAAAGTTCTTCTTGGAGAAATTCCTTTCTAAGAACCTCTCCCAACGTTTTCTCATGAGATAACTTCTTTGTTTCGTTAGAAGCATTTGTTTCTTTCGACCCGGACTCTTTGGAGGTGGACTTGGCGGAGTAGAGTGGAGCATCAGAACCCTAGTGATTTTAAGTTACTTTATCAAACTCGCTAGATAGCTCTAAAAACTTAGAAAAGTAGAACGTATTTTTGGAAAAGAACAAAGCAAGAAAGCAGGGTTGCGGTTTCAATTCACAAATTTCATTCAAAAGTCCAGACTGAACATAAAGGTGATAAAAAAAGGTCTGCATAGACTATTCAGAACAAAATCAAATGTTTTCCTTTGATAACGTACCTTCGTCAAACCTCTGCTTTTGAGATACTGCTTGGCTAGTTTGAACGCATTTTTGAGATCATTTTTTGAATTTGAAGGTAACACATCATCTACGGTCAGTGCACGAACGTGCTGGAAAA